AGGACTCTAACCATTGACTATTGACATTAAAGTGAGATTTCCCACTATCAACAACTTCAAGATCAAATTCATCCTTTAAAGCTAATAAAGCCAAGCCTATCTTTTAAGGGTCCCATTAACAATTGCAGCTGCTTCAATTCTGTTTAAATCCAAATCTCATTTTATTCATGCATGGACGGAATGAGGCCAAATCCGTGGGGAGAAGAATTCCCGGGGAATAAGTGAGACAATGAGCCAGCTGTACATATATCAACTCTAATTAGACAGAGCGAGGTAGGAAAATTTAAAAATGAGTGTTTGTATTAAAATCTTAAAGTTTGGGGAACTTTTTTATTTGATGGATTTGGGGTGAAATTTAATGAGTGCATGTTTGTCTTTCATTAATAGCTCATATAAGATATGGTCAATGGTGTCTGCAGACTAATTTTTCAGGATCCAGAAATGAATGATTGAAGCATCTCTGTACATCCCTAGGCAGAGATACTCATGTCTTCATTCAACCTGTGTTTTGCAGACTGTCAGGTATGAGAGAATAACTAACATTGAAGTAGCATTCATTGGTTTTGCCAGGCTGCTTTCCAACCTGCCTTAGTGAAACTTCCACGTGGCCATCACAGGCCTACTCAGATACAAGTAAAAAAGTGGTGGTAACTGTTAAAATGGAGGCATTGTTTGTAAAACCACGGTCTAGCAGTGTCCAGAAACCTCACCTCAGAAAAAGCTCTGAACAACTACGCTTTTCAAAAGCACTTTTTCCCTTTATTCTTGCATTTCTTAATCTTATTCAGTAATAAATTAGATAAAACTCATATTGGCTACACAAAACAGTGTCATAAAGTTTACAAGTAAATTACCCTGGTCACATTATTATGATGAAATCTGCGCTTCATTTTCAGCTAGAAAAAACTCCAGCAAACAACAAAGCCTACGACTTAACAAAACTACTACATCTTTAATTTTCTTTTTAATCAGATCCTGCTTTTTTCAGAGCTTTTGTAGGAAAAGGCAGAATAACACAAGCAGGACATACTATGTGCCCCTACTTAGCAAAGAGCGGTTTAGATCTTGAAGGATTTATTACATGCTGCTCAATGAAAGAGACAGTTAGCTTTTTTTTTTAATTAACTAATTATCCTCATAAGGACCTTAAATTCCCTAGTTAGTGGAAAGAAGCATGTACTCAAATTACTTGGGTAATTTCCCTCTCTGCTGTTCTCTGGAGCCATCTGCTTCTCTGCACTGATACAGTCCACTCAAAGTCTATGGATGACAGGTGGATCATACAACACAGGAACATTTCCAAAATTATCCAAATGGTCATTGGAAATTTCAAAGAGAAAATTCAAAGTATTGAGAAATAATAATAAAAGCAATTCAGTCATATTAGAAAGACTCGACCATGACTCTTCCGCCTTCTTCCATCTTAATGTCACTGACACTAAAAAACTCTTGGAAAAATCTATGTTTCTGCAAGTTCGACTCTTCAGGCAAATGCTTGAAGATCATAGGAATAATTTTGAACCTTAGCAGCCTTTATTCCTGTACATATATAGGTTTCAGTGCTACCCAAGCATATATTATTGAATAAATAAAAATGTCTAGGGAGGAAGGGAGAGAGTGGAAGAGTCTAACAGAAGTATATGATGAACATCAGAGAATAGCTTTCTGATTAACATTAAGAATCTTAATCAGAAATCAGAATCCTTTACATATCAAGTGCACTTTGGAGTTGACTAAAGAAATTATTTTTTTTTAAAAAAATCTCTTTTTAGACATTCCCTAGAGATCTCAAAGTAGGCAAACTGTCTCCTAGAGGGACCTCAGTAACACAGCAATGAGCATCTGTTAGACCTCTCTCCTGGGTAAGCTGGCTCTCCTGCCTCCTGTCACATGCTTGAGAAGATAGGTAGGCAGAAATAGGGTAACTTCATGCTATGTCTTATATTTAAAACCTCGATAAATTAGTATTGTCGATACATGCTAGAGGCAAAAAAAAAAAAAAAAAAAGGAGAAGAATGAAAGCAGTAGTTTGAGACAGCCTGAAGCTAAAGGGGGAGTGTTATGAAAAAAAAAAAAAAAAAAGGGAGAAGTATGAAAGCAGTAGTTTGAGAAAGCCCAGGTTTAGCATTGATCAGAGAGTTAGCAGTCACAGTACAATAAACAATCTGATTATTGCTCCTGGTCCAAAAATCTATGTTTCTTAAAAATCTATGTTTCTAAAATGTTCAGAACTTCATGACTCACCAGTGCTTCAAAAGCAGTTAAACTAAGACCTACTTCCATAAAATATTCCGCTTTTGGATGAAACAATATTTTTTGAGAGAAGTCCTGACGTGAAAGCCTCTTAAGCTTCTCAGGCAAAAACTCAAGTCTCTGGTCCTGAAACAGAACCATTTAAGTCAGCGGGGTTTCATCAGTGGAGCTCAGAATAGAATCTGCCCATTAGCGTGTTTAACACATTTACTCACTGCCAGAGTGCTGCCTTAATTCGCTTTTCTGAATAAACTTCAATTTCAGCACTCAAAACCAATTTAATATTGTGGACAAATGAAATTATTTCAATAGTAATGTTAAGAAACAGAAAGGGCTAAGTAATTGCAGATGAAATATAACTAAATAAGGGTGTCATTTATTTTTGAAGCTTCCAAATGTGTGCTATGTGTTTGTAATAGAGCATATGGCCCCTTCTTGGCCCTAGGGATTAGCTGGCTCTGCTCTGGTTGCACACAAATGCTGGGAATCAGCTAAAGAGCAACAGTTCTTGCTGAGAATGATAGAGAACCCACCCCACAGAACCAGAGGAAGAAGAAACAGGCTTCCTCTAGCCGTCTTTATGAGCGTGTAAAAGATGAAGTGGAATTTGTGGGCTTACCTTGTAAAATGAATTTTTTCTGATATCAGAACGAGCTGGAGAGTTGGTCCAAGAGCTGACTTGGAAGGAAGATTAAAGCTTTATTTGATTATCTGGATGGCCCAATTCACTCTACTTTAAATAGCACCAGTCTGAGAGACAACCAAGTGAAGTGGTTAGGGCTGGTATTTGCATGGAAATGGGCGAGATCAAATTGCTGTGTTCATGGGGAAAAATATAAAATGTTACTGTTTGGAATAAATGTAAGAACTAATTGAGATGTGCTAACGAAGCATGATGAGCAGCCCTGGAGAAAGGCAGAGATTAGAGCAATGTGATCAGGTGGTGACTCTTAAAAACCACTTAGAATCAACCAACTGACGTTGCTTTGCAGGAACGTAGGAGTTCTCATGCTCAGCCTCGCTGATGGTTGGTCTAATTCAGGCTTCTCCTGGTACTCCAGATGAAGGTTGCTTTACCTGCTCTGGGGTTTGCAACAGGTAAAGCAGGTAATGGCTGTGTGTACCGCAAACCAGAACTGAAGATTAATTATGATGTGAAGCTATTACTGTTTCCAGAGGAATCGGGTAATTTATGGAGCGGTCTGTGTTTGCCATCTAGTGGTACGAAGCCAAAATTTGTGCTCTGATGTGTGAGAGCCGACAAGACAGCTGAGGTCTTCTGCCCCAGAAAGAGACCTCTCCATGCAGAAATACATCTGCTTCCAGGCAGATGGTGCCGGTTACTGTGGTTAAAAGTCTAACTGTCCTTTTAGGAGATAGGGACAGAAATTTTGCAGCCCCTGACACACCAAGTTTAGGATTAGATCATTAGTGAGTTAACGAGGGTTATCCAGTAATTGATCTGTTGCTCCCTTATAGTATTCTGGTCTTTGCTCCACTCTTTTGATCTTAGAGGTCCAGATTCTTAGAATATTCAGGCACCCAACTTTTCACTGCTTTCTGTGAGAATTCAGGCAACTAAATATGCTAGGAATTGGAGATTATGTTCTAACAGCTTCTAAACCACGCTTGTAAAAGCCTCAGCCAAGGGACCTCCAAATGTCTAGAGGCGTCAGCTATGCTTTATAGTATCCCTGTATGGAGACATATGATTATCTTTCAACCAGGAGACTGAACTACAAATAAATTAACAGCTCATTAAAAAAATGTACAGGGAATATATACCGTTCTGGCAACAGAACATATATACCTAAACAGAAGCTGTAAGACTAGTTTTCTCTCTTAAAACATGGAACAGGTTGCCCAGGGAAGCTGTGGCTGCCCCATCCCTGGAGGTGTTCAAGGCCAGCCTGGATGGGGGGTTGGAACTAGATGATCTTCAAGGTCCCTTCCAACTCTAACCATTCTAGGATTCTATGATTTCAAGATGTGTGAATAAAGAATGAACTTTACTTCTCAGCTATGTCATATAATAAACACAAGACAAGGGGAATGCATCAATAGAAATATATTTTATCAGAACAAATTATATACAGCCTGATACCTAACCATACATGTTGTTTACCTGGATTTCTTGTTGTATAGTTAAGAAAATAATAATTATATATCGATTTTTTTATCAGTATTTGGGAAGTTTAATGTAATTCCCACATCCCAACTAAATAGCAAGTGTTTTCAGGTTTTACTATAAAAGCATGGCTAGGAATTAAAAGTTGGAGTTTTCACTGTATCTCTGTGATTCAGAAGCATCACTCAGTTTAGCTGTTCCTGGGATCTTCCCGCCTAAATCATACAGGTGGTTTTTTTTAGATCCCTTTCACAAACCCCAATGAATGAAAACAAACCAATTCAAATTATATAGAGGACCAATCCCAGATGACTGAATCAAAGATTAATGAGATAGAATTAATTTTACTATGTAGTGTTAATCATATTAACACCAACATGATTCTGAAAAGTGTACCTATACAATAACACCACATATATAAGAAAATCTGTGGAAGTAAACTTTAGAAAATGAAAAATACATGCTATTAGCTATGGTCCCTTCTTTTAAAAAAAATTATTGAATCTTCTCTTTATTGAGCAGCTACTGCTATGTTCACTTATTCATTCATCCACTCATTCAGCTGTTATTTATTTAACTAATTATTCAATTAATTGTTCACTGAGGGACCAAGTATGATCTATGTTTTACAATTGACCTCAAAGAGCGAGGCAGCTGAATGCATCCGATAGAAAATAGAAAAAGGCATCGCAAGGTTCACAACAATTATCCAGGGCTCAAAGCCAAAAACTATTTCTTCCAGTCCATTGTCATATTCTGGGCGGCAGCCGAATGCTGGCGGTATCCAGAGCTGCAAGGGAAGAACACAAGGCCAATATTAATCCCTGGTGATACATGTGACTAGACCCCAGTAACTGCGACCCCATCAAACTGGAATTTGGTTTCAGAAACCTCCAAGAAACCCCTCCCTGTTGCTACTGGGGCTCAGTGGGGGAAGAGGGTTTCAGCTTCTGATGCTGCTATAGTTTGTGTCCTGTGACTAAAACAAGCCTCGGCTCCCAGATTCTATCTTTAAATAAACTTTGTTCCCCAAAGGCACATTCACTTATTCTTCCAGAAGAAGTAAAATCTCCTTGCTACAATCTATAGAACCATGTAATTTTAATGCACTTATCAGGCTTGAAAGGTTGGGAGGCTTTTGGGTATCAGCTCGTGAATTACGTTCGGAATATCTTACCGAAAGATTGCATAGGAACAAAAACGCCGCGATGTTCTTCAGAATCCTCCTCTTGTTGTTAGTAACTGAGTTTCTACTGTAAAATGAGATATCTGAGGCTGAATGCACGACCGAACTCTTCTCCTGGCTCCTTTCTTCTGTGGCACCACCATTGCTTTCTCTGCCACTGCCCTTCAGCAGGCAGGGCACCTCTCCGCTGCCGGGAGCAGCTCTGCCGTTGTAAATCTCTTTGTAGGAGGGGGTGAGGGATAAAGTGCTCCCCCGAGACACAGTCACGATTCGCAGAGTTTTAATGTCGTCGTTCCCCTTTTCCTGCTCCCGGTGTATGGATTCAATGATAAAAAGGTTCTGAATGTATTTCTCAATAATGACCAGGACGGAGTAGGGCAGGTTGTACCACGTGTATTTCGGATGAGCCTGGGCACAGATAATGGCCAGGATGGAGCCCCAGGAGAGGAGCCAGGACCCCGCGGCTGTGCCCACCAGCAGCTCGGCATCGAGCTTTCGAGCGGGATTTTTGGAATTGTCCAGTGACCTGTCTTCCAGTCTGTAGATGAGAAGGGCGACGATTCCAGCTGTGCACATCAGAGCCAACACAAAGATGGCGTGCAAGTAAAACATCGTGAGCGCTAACTCGCTTTTGATCTTCGAGCGTCCAATCTGAATTAAATAGACAACAACTATGGCTATTGTGCTAGTTAACACGGCCAGTCCAAAAACCGTGCCAACCGTTATGCCGTGGAATTTGAATGGAGTTTTGTGTTGCTGGTGGTGCTCAACTTTGCGGCCAATATTCTTCCACAGGACATAGAGCATGGTGGATGCTAGGATGTGGTACTCTATATTAAAGGGGTATAGATAATAAATTCCTTGAGAAAATATCGAGCAGAGGGTTGTGGTTGTGCAATTGCATTGAGGTGCATGATCATCTAAAACTGAAGAAGAGGGAGAGATTAGTTACGTGCATTATAAGGATTCCCATTTAAAGTGAATAAATAAAACATAAATAAAATAACAAAACATAAAAGTTAAGATTTCAGTCACACAACACATCACCCAGGTAGACACCTAAGAAAAGGTTTTGTCATGGAAGTCATTAACCTAACAAGGCTTTTGCATGTGCACTGAAGTATGATCTCTGACTTCACTGCTCAGTCGCTGAGCAATAATCACATCATGAAGGAATGCTGCACCAAAGGGCACCAAACTTCAGTAGGATGTTGGTAAAAATACTTTTTTGTAACACCAAAATCCAAGATCCCAAAGGCTTTGAGCCATCAGCCATTCAGCTTAGGAGGCTTTTATAGGAGCCCAGGAATCTGTGAATCACATCGAGAACAAGCTTAACATGGAAAAAGCTCAGTTCTACTCTCATTTTTATCAGTTATTTACACTAGTGTGGTTTCTGATACCAAAATCTCTTTATTAAAAAGTTTTTTATGTCTTGGAAAGAGGTAAAGTAAACAAATGATACCTTCACTCGATGTCCCAGTATAGTTCTATGGTTAAAAAAAACATTAAAAATCAATCTTCTCCGTTTGAGAGGAACCTATGAAATCGTAATCTCTCTGCTGTGTAGTTAGCCGCATCGTAAATGCCTAAGGCATCTCAATGAACAGTTGTTTGTATTTGTAAAATAAATAAATTTGATGTGCACTTATGACCTAAGCAAATAATTTCAGAAATCAGAAATTTTCACAGTGTCAGGAAAAAAAAAAAAGATACTTATTTTCACAATGGATTTATAAATATATAAACATATGCTGAAGAGCACATTTTTTGGCGCTGATCTTGGATTTGTGCCTGGAAAATTTTCTTTTGTTTTCTATAATTTTACAAGGGAGGAGGAAAGGAGAAAGTTGGTATTGTTTGCTCTCAACCACACAGTTAATAGATGAAAAAAAAATTGCTTTTGCAGTGGGTTGCATGTTAATGCCAAACTTGTCTTGCAGGTCACTACTTCACTCCCCCTTATTTCAGATGCTATTTCTGACTGTTCATAATTGTGTAACAATTCTGGCAGCAGAATAATGGGAGATAATATAAGGAAACTGTTTCTACTTAACAAGTGGAAATACCAAGAAGAGCCACTAACTTGTGATTTGCCTGTTCTCTAGTAATGCTCCATGATTACAAAATCTCTGAACTATCATTTCAGCTACCAGATCATTAAGGAAAAGTAGATAGTTTCCATAGATACCTCTAAAAGGTAACACTTGCAAATAGCCATGAAATTGTGGGCATAATTTTAGACACAGTTATACTGAAAATACCATTTAATAGATTTTTACTTAGAAGTTTTCACTTATATGTGAATTTTAGCAGGTATTATTAAAAATGCCTAAAATATTTCAATTTTTAAAGACTATAAAAGGAATTAGTTCAAGCTTTGGCTTTATAGATGCAAAATCAGGAGTTTTTAGGATACAGACACTACTGAATTCCCACTACTGGGTGGGAAAACATACATGTTCCTCTTCAAAAGCTGTCTGTCCTTTCCCTGTGAACACAATCGAAATTTATCAGCTGTACTGATAAATGTTCATGGGAAAAAAATTGTTTATAGCTGCTGAGAAATTTTATTTCCTATTTAAAGTTAAGCACTCCTAATTTCCCCATGCTTCAGTGGCATTTGATAGCAGAAGGCATCCCCAGCAGTTACACTCAATGTTTGTTGACTATAACTTGCATCATCTTACCAATGGAGAAAACCATTCATTATAAAAAAAGAACCACCCAGAGCAAAATCCTTGTCTTGTAAAGCAGCACTAATGGATAACCCCCATCCCTCAGAGCCATTCTGCTGAATCCCACAGGACCACACACCATGGGTAACCACTCTCCTGGGAAGGATCTGCATGATTATCCACATTTGTTTTGCTATGAAAAACGTACGAAATAGTAATCTCTGTTTTTAACACTGCTATGTTCCATTTACTTCAATGATTTACTAATAAAAGGGTTCCTCAGTGATGTTACTCCTCAAATAAAAATATTTTTAAAAAAACTGTTTGTTTGTTTGTTTGAAATTTACAGCATTACAGCATTTACATTTCTACATCCTGAATCACATATATGGCAATGAGGATGATACAACATTTTAGTTGTGATCTGAGCTGACCACTCACCAGTTCACTAGTGTTTGCTCAGGAATGACTGTGCTGGCGTAGTCAGGAACAACAACCCAGCTCCATCCTACAGGGTCACGGTATTTCTTTTGAGAGCACATTAGAGCAGGAATTCCAAAATGTACCCACCCTTTCACTTACCTATTGTTATGTTCCCAAAACCAAGCGTGATTAATCTCTCCTTATGTTCATTCAGCTGATGTTTGGACTCTGTTAGCACTCCATTTGTCCACAGGAGTAAATTTGTGAACACGGAATGGATAACCCCAAACCTACAAAACAAAGCCATTATTGAAGGAATCTGCACAGCGTATACCTCCATATACGTTAAATAAAATGGACTGACTTTCTATAGATGTGGTACAGGGCACTATTTAATTGTCGATGCAGGGAAAAGAAAATCATAACTGATGTCTCTAAAGATGTTCCTCAGCGGAGCACAATGGATGTTAGACATCCATAATTTTATACAATGACAACGGCTTAACATATTAAACCATTAATTTCTTATGCTCTCTTATGTGATGTTTATTATTCTTTGGGCTGGCCAGGCTTCATCTTAACGACAGTGACTGAACAGTCTGAACAAAGTTACTTGTTTTGCAAGGCTCTTGTTTGCAAGAGCCTTCTGCAGTGCTCCTTCATACTCACTGTGGCTGGTCTTTCTTCACAGGTACCACTGCCTTCTCTAGCTTCTAGTCCATGCATGTTTGTCTTCTGGAGAGAGTTGAAGCCAACAGAGGGCTTTATCCCATTCAGGCTACTGGTACAGTGGGGCTAGGCCTCCACGTGCTTTTGAGACTCCTGGTTTCTGACAAGCCAGATGTTTTTGCATTTGTTTTGCTGTGAAAAACTTACAGAATAGTAATCTCTGTTTTTAACACTGCTATGTTCCATTTACTTCAATGATTTACTAATAAAAGGGTTCCTCAGTGATGTTACTCCTCAAAAAAAATGTTTTTTAAAAAAACTGTTTGTTTGTTTGGAATTCACAGCATTTACATTTCTTCTGGACCTCATCCAAAGGGGAGATGGTGCTGGCGTAGTCAGGAACAACAACCCAGCTCCATCCTACAGGGTCACGGTATTTCTTTTGAGAGCACATTAGAGCAGGAATTCCAAAATGTACCCACCCTTTCACTTACCTATTGTTATGTTCCCAAAACCAAGCGTGATTAATCTCTCCTTATGTTCATTCAGCTGATGTTTGGACTCTGTTAGCACTCCATTTGTCCACAGGAGTAAATTTGTGAACACGGAATGGATAACCCCAAACCTACAAAACAAAGCCATTATTGAAGGAATCTGCACAGCGTATACCTCCATATACGTTAAATAAAATGGACTGACTTTCTATAGATGTGGTACAGGGCACTATTTAATTGTCGATGCAGGGAAAAGAAAATCATAACTGATGTCTCTAAAGATGTTCCTCAGCGGAGCACAATGGATGTTAGACATCCATAATTTTATACAATGACAACGGCTTAACATATTAAACCATTAATAGCATGCTGTTACTATTTCTTATGCTCTTTTATGTTATGTTTATTATTCTTTGGGCTGGCCAGGCTTCATCTTAACGACAGTGACTGAACAGTCTGAACAAAGTTACTTGTTTTGCAAGGCTCTTGTTTGCAAGAACCTTCTGCAGTGCTCCTTCATACTCACTGTGGCTGGTCTTTCTTCACAGATACCACTGCCTTCTCTAACTTCTAATCCAGGCATGTTTGTCTTTTGGAGAGAGTTGAAGCCAACAGAGGGCTTTATCCCATTCAGGCTACTGGTACAGTGGGGCTAGGCCTCCACGTGCTTTTAAGACTCCTGGTTTCTGACAAACCAGATGTTTTTCTCCTGCACCTGAGGCCGGTAATGTTCCTTCACCGAGAAACAGTTCTTTATTACTGCACTGTTCTCAGTGATAGACTTACAGTTAGGGATTTTTAAAATTGTATTTATAAGCAGACCTGATTTCACCAGGTGACACTGTAAAGCCTTCTGCTATCCCTCTCCCTTGACATGAGGCTTGAACACTTGAACACCCAAGAGAGCAAAACAAAAGGAGAACTTGCTCCATAAATGATATTTCTGAGTAAATTTCTTTTACTTCCTGTAGAAACTGGTCAGCCCATTAATAATTTGAGAATGATATTTTAAAAGTTACCACGTTTGCTTATTTACGTTCTATGTACAGATAACTTACATTACTCCACCTTCTTGCAAAACCAAAAATACATCAGAACTGTATGTCAAAGACCAGTCCTCAGTGCTATAAGAAATGTGTGTATTCATCTGTTCAGAGGGCACATCAGTTACACTGCGAGAACCAAGTTCTGGGCTCAGAAATGTGCACAACCCTTAGTGATTTGGGTAAATGGGATAACACTGGGAAGCTTGTGTTTCCCACCAAATTTGCACATCTGCCTCTAGTTCCCAAAGGTGCTTCCCACAAAAATCAATATAAAATGCCTCAGATACATTGCACTGACTGCAGGTTGCTGATGCAAATTATCTTCTCACTTGGGTAAACGGAGTTACTTGTTTGTATATTGTTTTAATATTAACATAATTAAAAGGAGAATCTGTTAAGTTTTCCATGTCCCCCATACAGTAAAACTGTAGGTGTTGAAGCTCTGTGCAGACCTACACCTATTCTAGATGAGGATCAGATCCACTTTACCTTTCAAGTGTTTTGAAAGACTGGATAATATCCTTTGCATGACACCAAAGAAAGTACACCTGAATGAAAGGAATACAGAGAAATGTCATTACACTGAAGAGCATGTGTGACACTCAAAAAGGAAAGTAGACGGAAACTGTGATGATGATTTAAACTGAGGTAGCTCCATTTCCACACATGTGAAATGAAATAACTTATGATTTCCTCTGATGTTCACCCAGAACCTTTCTGGCATGATGATTTCTTCTATACAGAGGCAGTGGCTCCACCGCAGAAAGTCTCAGTATGACTCACCAAAAAATATCCTGTGTCTGTGCCTGGAGAAGCTTTTATTTCAAAGGAAATAAAGCCACCAGCTGTGGACAGCAGCACCATTGCTGCAGGGTGTGGGGATGCTAAGTCTGAATAATTTATTGAATATAGGGAATTGTAGGGAGGGAGAGAGATAAGTGAAAGGATGCCAGACTTGATTAGTAAAACAAACACCAGACCCCCAGGAAGCAAGAGAAAAGTTGGTGCTGTCAGCATGAGAGACAACCGCATGAGGGACACACGAGGTTGAACTCAGGTACGGTGCAGAAAGCTCAAGCTGGAGAATAAAAGAGAGAGAAACAACAGGACCGAGTTAGCAAGTAAAGGGAAAAAAAAGTTTTAAAAGTGGGAATCTCTGTTTATGGGAGGATAATAGAAATCTCCAGATACAGAATATTGCTGATACAAAACCGTTTCCGAGTGCTGATCAGTGCAAGGAGAATGATATTCCGATATTCCTCAGGGATGTCAGGGTGAAACTGGGAGTCCTGTTTACTCAGAATAGCTCCTAGGACAGTGAACTGGACAGTGGATGAACTATCAGGAGAGAAACTGTACCCCAGGGGTTTCTCTTCCAAACCTGCATGGTTTGGTGTTCCAGAAATGGTCAGAAAAGTGCAAAGAGCTTTGGGTTCTTCTTTGGCAATTACAGTACCTGGAAGTCCATCTTACCACTGTACCCATTAACTGCACCCTACACCACAGCTGGTGGCATCTAGGACATTCTGATGCTGATTTTTGAAAAAGCTAGGAAAATGCAGTTCTCTGTGGGTTGCCTACACCACCCAGCAACAGCATGTTCATTCATCCCTCTAATGAAGATTTATCAAAAGAAGCTGTGACCACTCTAAAACCCCAGGTGTAGAGACTACAAGGCATCACAGAGGTTTCAACTGAAATCAAACAAATTGAAATTAACACCTTAGTCTCATCTAATGCCCTCTTCAATTTCCCATTCTGGGAGAGATGCAGTAAAATCCAACATTGTTGCTGATAGAAAACCGGTTCAGAGTGCCAATCAGTGCAAGGAGAATGATATTCCGATATTCCTCAGGGATGTCAGGATGAAACTGGGAGTCCTGTTTACTCAGAATAGCTCCTAGGACAGTGAACTGGACAGTGGATGAACTATCAGGAGAGAAACTGTATCCCAGGGGTTTCTCTTCCAAACCTGCGTGGCTTGGTGTTCCAGAAATGGTAAGAAAAGTGCAAAGAGCTTTGGGTTCTTCTTCGGCAATTACAGTAACTAGAAGTCCATCTTACCACTGTACCCATTAACTGCACCCTACACCACAGCTGGTGGCATCTAGGACATTCTGATGCTGATTTTTGAAAAAGCTAGGAAAATGCAGTTCTCTGTGGGTTGCCTACACCACCCAGCAACAGCATGTTCATTCATCCCTCTAATGAAGATTTATCAAAAGAAGCTGTGACCACTCTGAAAGCCCAGGTGTAGAGACTACAAGGCATTACAGAGGTTTCAACTGAAATCAAACAAATTGAAATTAACACCTTAGTCTCATCTAATGCCATCTTCAATTTCCCATTCTGGGAGAGATGCAGTAAAATCCAAGAGCATTCAAGCATTGAAAGCATTCAATGTGAAAGCATTCTTCAAAACTTGAAAAACATAAATTTTGTAGGTCTGTTCAGACATTAGTCAAGAAAGTGGAGGGAAATAAGAAAAGTCACTAAGGTAAAGAAATAGCATAAAATCCAATTTTTGCTCACAGAATACTCATTCCCTCAAAGGGACTTCTGCATGTGAAACAGCAACGCACAGGTAAGAGCAGGTACACATTAGCTCATTGCTTGCACAGGTGCAGTACATATGTATTTATTCATTTAATGGCATATATCAGGATGCCTCATTAGAATAAACTGCAATGGAATCTGACACCTATTCTGTAGAACACAAATCCTTAGTCTTTTAGATGGTGCATAATTAGGAATGCTGTCTGCTGGAACTTCATCCTGTGTTTCAAGGACTTGAGAAGATTTGTCTTAGGTAAGAGGCATCTGGTAAATTACTTTTTACCTTTTTTCTTTGATTACTCAGGCTAACATTTTAGATTTCATTATTTTAAGCTAAGTAGATGATAAATTCAGTAACATCAGGTGATGTAAAATTTAAATTAGAATTCTTGTTCCCTTTGTTCAGTGTTGTTATACAGTTTCTTCCACACTCCAGTTCACTGTAGCTGGAAACCTTGTCAGCTCAGGGTTACTGGATGCAATGAGAAATGCTACATGTGGCTCAGCAGGGAAAAAAGGCTTAATTTCTTTGGTTTGTTCTTCAACAAAAGCAAAGTTAAGTTACAAGACATGGAGAGTGGATATTAAAAGAATATGAAATGAAGACTACTGCAACAAAATCAGAATTTCACCCTCAGAGAAAAAGATAGAAGAGGTCAGAGCTACTGCTTAAATTTCAGTGGTTTTTTTCATTACAGAAAGCAGAAAAATGTACAGCTACTGCTTAAATTTCAATGTTTTTTTTTCATTACAGAAAGCAGAAAAATGTAAGCTGTTCAAATGCTTATTTACATGCAACCACAACTGCTAGAAAAATCTTTCTTTTCTTTCTGAATGACTTAATCATCTTGGAAAGCACATTAAATGACCTGGCTATAACTGAGTATCTTAGTTGAGTGGCTTTTTCTTTCCTTCTTTCCTACAAATCTGCTGATGGGGGCTTGGAGGAATTCATGTGAATATCACCATAAAGGATAAACCCAAAACCTTAAAATAAACAGGCAGCTGGAATATTTTACCAGAGTCACTACATTTGCTACTGTGCAGTCCCTGACAAGCATAACCAAATGCTTCTAGAAGCAAAATCCATGTTAATTTGTTACAGGAAAGATATGCAAGTATAATATAACAAGCTAAAGAGCTGGGGAGGGTTTTGTCCCTTTTAAGTATCAGACCTCCACCCCTAACCTCAACCGGACATGAGGACAGGCAGAATGAATAGGACTTGCATGGCAAGTCCTATATACAGAAATAAGTGAATTGTCTTTAGCCAAGCTGCTCATTTCAGCCTGAAAATTGTGAAAGTTATCTATGTAACTCGAACTACATTAAGCAGGTAACTTCAACTGTAGGAGAGAGCATTTTTTTGATTACTTCTTTTTTGAACCCATGTGATTTTTACAGCTGAGCAATTTCAAGTCGCAAAGCCCAAATTCAAGGATAGAAAGGATATACGTGCACAAGAATTTAGCCCTCAAAAGTATCCTGTGATATGTGTAGAAACTGAATTAGTGTAAATTCAATGATGATGAGAAGAGAAAAGATATTTCTGGTAAGAAATACAGATATAATATTAAACTGCAACCAGTGACTTTTACCTGTAGGATGGTGTGCACGGCATGTGTAACAGGAAAAATGCCTTCAGTTGGTGATAAACAGTTTGAAAAATCAACATAATATCCAATTTTAAAAGAGTCCAGAATTAAAGTAATCACTGCAAACAATGTAATCCCACCTACAAATGAAAAAGACATCGGAAAATGTCAGTGTACAGTTACAGTCTCTGGAGACAATTTGTACAATTTGTTAAAATCTGTTTAGGGAAACAGAAGTCCATCGATATCCGTGGATTTTTGTTGACGGAAATAAAAGTAGATCAATGTTCATGAAGATAATTGACTTGAAGAAATAAATCCCTCTAAGCTGTGAAAGCCTCTGTGAAATATATATTGTGAAGATACCTCCCTGTACACGCGGGGCACGGCCAGAGCAGAGGAGCCAGCCCAGCGATGGCCAGGACCTGGGGACACTCAGCACCTTGCAGATGGCTCCCAGCCCCTTGCAGGGTCAGCCTCTCCAGTAATGGCAGCACTAAAGTGTGAATTAGTGCTCTGTACAGCCACACGGCAAACTATACCGTTCCGGGGAGCTGAACAATCATGTTACAGTCTCCTGGCCCAAGAGCTCGACGTCGGCGAGTAACACAATCACTTGGAATGCCTTCCCTGGGGTTCAGGGGGGTACGATCTGACTCAGAGACCAAAACTACAATAAGCTGTACAGTTTCTTCTAGAAAGGAACCAAAGATTTCATTTCTGTATCTATTATTTCACTACACACACCCCCTCCCCCTAAAAAAACCCTAATATGTTCCTCTAAGTATGTATTTCATACCTAAAGAACTTTCACAATACATGTTTCCCCTTGTTGTTGTTGTTGTTTATTTTTCTTTCAGGAATGTAAATATTGGTTACAAACTCATTCTGGAAAGCTATATGGTAACATAATGCCTATTATTAATTATTGGATTTGTACCCTTATGACTAAGCACAACAGGCAATAAAATTACTGAACCAAACTCTAAAGTCTTCATTTGTTTGGATTTTATTTTTTATCTCTGGGCTTTTATTCAAACAAGTTTCCACTGGATTTAATTTGGGCTTATTTGAACTAAGACTAGCTAAAAATCTATCCATGGACCTTAAGGTATAGATCAGCATCAGTATCTTAATCTTTCTTTGTAATTCCTCACAGAGTAAATAACATCACTAGGGTTGACTTTGATGAATATTTATCCTTTTATAAGGGACCACAACCAAACTTCCTTATAAGCAGCACATGTTCCACTTGACTTGTGCCAATAAAATATAACACTAATTTAATAATTTATTTAATTGATAGTACACTTATTATTAAAATTGCATTGAAAAAATTAATTATAAGTGGTCAAAACATGATGTGTTCTTGTTTATTATTTCATTGATCCTTTAAAATTAAACAAAAATAGACTTTCAGAAATTTGGTGGGCTTCAACCTGTTCCTGTTGAAATCAATAGATTATTTCATTTATTCACATGATATCTAGATGTTTCTGGCAATCACTCAGGTGGCCACACTGGAAGTATATACAAAATGTCCAACACGCATATTTAAGGGACTTCGACAGAGAATGATTGTAATAATTTGTTCAGGTACATTCAAAGCACAGTTACAATGATCACAGATTACTAATTGTGTCCATGTTAACTTTTCATGATGGAAATTTCAGTATTATGTACTAATACGAAATATGAGCTATATATCAGAAATTATAAATAAGGAAGATAATTCCACTGTTTTGCTATTTCTGTTTGAAAGTTAAACCTGAAATGATTGCTATTGAGCACTGTATAATTTTTTTAAAAAAGGGGATTTTTTTTCCAATGTTCACTGAAACCTGTATATCTTAAGGGATCAAGATTAGGATTTTCAGTATTGCTAAGTGCTGACTAGTTCTAAATTCTTTCTATTAACCAGCAAAAAGGAAAAAAAAGGGCATAATGATACAGTTGTGAAAATGCCACTCTAAACTTGAAATATTTTTCAAGTAAGAGCCAATTTAATGCAAGCAGTAAAAAGATACAAGCTGAAGTCTGCCAAGAGTTTTGTAAGTTGACTAACTGTCTATCCTTTAAACAGAAGTTGTACTGCTGGAAAACATTATAAAATAAAGCCATTTGTGAAGCCAATTGATTTTCATTTTGGGTTCTCTGGCTCACTTGGCTGGACTTCCAAATAATGATCAGAGATCTTTCCCAAACAGGACAGTGTTCTCTGGGGGAATAACATTTGGACTAAGTCAAGGAAAGGACTTCCTAAGCTTCCCTGTGATGATCTGGGTCAGGATAGCTGCACCTTATCAAAGACAAAGTTCTCCCTGACACATTTCCCAGGTTCAGACTATAAGAGCAGCTCTTGCTCTGCCACACAAGGGGGAAGGCAGCTCTGCTCTAGGGTTCATGCAGTTGCAAAAATGCTGAAGGAAACCTTCCTGCCAGTAATTCTTGTAAACTATTTGTCCTTCTGGCGTTGTTAACCCTCTGCAAGGACTCAGTTACAGAAGGTTTTCGTTAAGTCATTCTTTTTCAACTTTTGTCATAGCAAAATGCTGTTAAGTAGCCAGCTATCACTACTTTAACTAAAATGTTATTCAAAGTTTGAAGGGAATAATGAAAATACACTTATTTTATACTGGTTGGTACATGGATATTTTCTCTAATGATGAGAGCATGGAGTCGCTCTTCTAAAGCATCTGAGAGAGCTAGTCAAAAATTGCAGCGAGCTTTCTGTGGAAAGACTTGGTGAAAACTTGTCATCCCCCCCCTTCTCCTTTTTGGAGTTTTAGTCTTTCAGGTAAAAGATTTCAGTGACAACACCACTGATGCAGAGGAGGGCAAGGGGGATCTTGGCAGAGGGATCGCCACCTGCATTTTTCCTTAGCTCAAATAAGTTTTCTTTTACCAACAGAGGATAAAGGACTTGTACAGGCTTGTTGTAACTACAAGAAACTCCCAAGAATAGGAAAGTGTAGGTCTTTCCCTAAGGTCGAATTTGTTGAATTGCAGCCGAGACATCCAAGAGAAGGGGTGGAAGCCGCACCACTTGAGAAGCTAGTACAAAGAGCCATCCTGTGCTGGTAAAAGAAATGGATAAGGTAACCTAGGAGTTCATTCCAGTATCGTATTTCTAAGTTTCTGTGACTCCTTATATCCTGTAGGACAAACGAAATGCTGTGAATGCTGTGCCAAAAGAAAAAGGGCAGGGGGTCCTGCTGTACTTACCCATGTTAAGCAGTATTTATTCCATACTTAGGAGGAAAAAGCTACCCTCTGAGTAACAAAAGCATAGCCTGGTCCAAAATAGGATCAAATTAAGCCTTGCATTAATGAATTTCAGAAGGTTGTAAGCCACATAAGCTAATGAATGAAAAATGCCTGGGAGCTGGATATTGTTTTTGAAAACAGTGAATAATCAAGGAGAACAAGTGAAGAGTTGGTACGTGAACTCCATGCATTTCAGGAAAGAGTCTACAGACCACAGCTGTACAATTTTAGACATTAAAAAAAAGATTTCCCCTGAGCAATTCTTAAAGCACAATTGTTAACAGCTGCAAAGGAAACAAAAGACACACAAGCACTGACACTGAGAACAAACTAAACTTCCACACAACACAACCTTACTTTTCAAAATCATCGGGTTTCAGGTGTTCTTGGGATTTTCATTTAGGCATTTCATTAGCTGCTGTGACAACTAACTATTGTCTCATTGCTAGCGGGACAGAAATACGTTATGGAAAAGCTGTCTTACAGAACTCCACTTTACACACTTACTTTCCAACCTACCATTTAGAGTGCCGAGACTGGAAATGTGGTCAGTAAAACTGGGCTTGCCTCAGAGTCTACACAGTGCTGATGTGGGTTGGTTCCTCTCTTTGGGACCCAGAAACGCAGCATTCCTGTCACTGCGACTCAGTGATCTGCTCCCCAACCACCTTCTCTCGATAAATCTTTATTCCTTACTCCAGGACGCACCTGACCCTGCAGATAAGGGCCATCACATCCCACCACTACCCTGGCAAACTTGCATACTTTTCCTACAAGTTCATGCAAGCTGCAGCTTCCTCAGTTAGAAGTTTTATGTACTGATCTACAACTTATCTGGCCAGGGGTTTTGTCCTCTTCTGTCTAACTCCACGTGTTTCTAAGGCATCATTGTACCCATATAAATGGGAATCTCTGATATACATCGGCATAGAGAGCACTTGAGGACCTTTCTGACTGGTACTAGCCTAAAGTAACTTGTGTTATTTTGCTGTGAAAAGGTGATAATTCCTCCAAGAGAGTTGCACGACGCCAACATAATTGCCTCTTTCGTTAGCTCTATTTTATTTTTCAAGTGCTGCCAAACCAGACGGGTAAGGGAAAACAGGGCACCAGAGCTTCCAGTCCTGTAAATGGCAGGTTGGAAAGCGAGGATGTTCAGCAAACAGCTTTCCCATACAACCTCCTAGTGTGCTCAGCTTGTGCATATATTTACTTTAGAGCGCGCTGTGTGTGCTTTAAGTTCAGGGACACGGGGATGCCTCCTGGTAGGGATGGCGAGGGTAACGAAGTGGTAGCAGAGAGGGGTCGATGGCACGGATGTCCCACGCGCGGTGCCACCCGCCCCGTGCCACCCACCAGCACTTACACTTGAGCCAGCGGGCTCCGGCGTGCGTGTCCTTGTCCCGGATCAGCCTCCTCTGCGTGCAGCTCCTGCCCAGGTACCACAGCATCCACAGCAGCTGGATGAGCATCAGCGTGATGAGGTAGGAGAGCAGGTGGCTCTTGCTGATGCCCACGGCGTGGACGGCCCAGGCGAAGGTGAGCAGCAGCCCGGCCAGGAAGAGGTTGATGCCGTACTGGCTGCTCAGGATCTCGGCGTTTTTCTGCGGGTAACTGCCCAACGCCGAGGGGGAACCGGCAGATTTCTCCATCTCCCACCGCCGCCGGCCGGGACGCTGAGAGCAGGCGGGCCCGCTTCTCCCGGGGGAGCCCCGGGGACGGCGGCTGGCCCGGCCCCCCATCGCCGGTCGGGGGCGGAGCGGGGCCGCCGGCCCTCGTCCTGCCGTGCCGTGCCGTGCCGTGCCGTGTCGTGCCTCCCCGGAGCCACCGCCGCCCGCCCTGCGGGGACCTCCAGGTGGTCCCCGGCTGCCGGTGGGATGCCCAAAGGGAGGGGAGGGAGGGAGGGTCCGGGGAGAGGGCGGGGGGGGGTCGTTTAAAGGCTGCTGATGGTTTGAACTTTGGGCACCTCAGCCAACAGCCGAGATTAGGGCTGAGGGAGAAAGAATCTAGCAAAT